AAATGGATGTCAAGAGGTTTACTCAGACCTTTATCAGATCTTCATTTCAAAGGGCATTTCATAAAATATTTGACACGGTTATGCAGGGAGCTGAGTCTCTCTGCCACCTCCCCAAGAACTGAATGCTAATCTCCATGATACCCAAGGACACTGCAGGAGCATGTCTCAGAAATGCACTGGGTGAGTGTAGGGTTGTTGAAAAGTTTCTGGTGGTTATTCTGCCAGTGAACTTTGTCCCGTTTACACTGACCACTTATTTCCCTCTGACTCTGGTGCGCTGCCTTCCCTCTACTACACCAGAGGAACTGGTCTTTTTCTCTTTAGTACGAATCAGTTAAAAAAAAAAACCTCCCTATGACAGAGTGCTGGCAGCAACACCTGATCACTGACCTTGCTGCAGCAGGTAAAAGGCTGCAGGCTCTGCTGGGAGCGATGAAACACTTTCGGCTGGGGCATTCTGAGCACCCAGATGGTAACCGCTGGGCTAAGGATGTAATTGGGAGGCTATAAGCAGCAGGAACAGGAAGCCAGGGGAAGCTCAGCTGGTGCGATGGGCTGAGCCTGTATGAAAAGCTCCTGGTACAAGGAGCTATGTGCTATGTTGCGTGTGTAAACGTGCAGAGGAATAAAAGGTTCACGGGGTGACTGGCAAACAGCCTGTGTGTGCCTGTGAGGTGACAGAAACAGGCTAGAGTGGTTCTCACCCTGCGGCCCGCGGGCCACTTGCGGCCCAATCAGCACAGAGCTGCAGCTCCTGTGACATCCCCAGGGCCATACAGGTAGTATTGGATGTGGCCCGCGGCCCACAATGGTAAATAGGTTGAGAACCACTGGGCTAGACAGTGTGGCACTGAGTATCTGAGAGAGCGCCCTGTGATCCTCCCCCTAAAGCTTTACCAAGAGCAAAGTCATTGTGTATCATCCAGTTTGGGGTGGGCTTTTTTTGCCAGGTTTCCATTAGGCCAAACTGATCAAACTGTTTGGTTGCACTGATCACAAATCTACTGAAGTTCAATATTTGTAACCTCCTTTTGTGGCATGACATTCAGGAGAGTGCACTACATCCTAGGAACAGCCCTGCCTGTCTCATGTTGCAGGAATGACCTCAAAAGGCTCACAGGCTCCTGCACTCCAGCACCAGTGTGATTAATGATGACATGTTTGCCCCCTCGGGGCCTTTCAGCTCTTGTGCAGAGTCCACCTGTAACCGAGCATCCTATTCAGGAAACTTTGAAAGTGCCTTTCATCTCCTCCATAAATCACTTAGTTGCTGTGGGTCTCTGCCTCTCTGCTGTGTGATGCCTTTGGGTAGTTTTCAGAGGCCACTGCCTGGATAGAGGGGGGCAGAGGTGCTTGTGTCATTTCTGACCCCTCTGCTGATCTAATAAAAATGTCAAGAAGCACTTCATTAAAGCCGGCTTCATTGGTGCTACACTACTGCCATTACGTTTCGGGGGTGGGTACGTAAGCAGTGCCTATATATATTTACTCAGCTCTTACGATTTAGGACTAGACTATCAGTGCATCATGGCTAAAAACTAGCATCTAGGTGCAGAAGTTAACTCTCCATTGCCCATTCAAAGACTCTAAAGAGGATGCAAATCCTATGTAACAGCATCACAGCAGGGGACAGCTGCAATTCTAGGTAAGCAAATAACATCTTCAGAGAATGTTCCAGTCAGAGAAATTGAGACGCACTATTAGGCCTTTCCTAGTCTCTTTTTTGGAAAAGCCTTTTTACATGGGAAGGTCCAGAATCCAGACTTACTGCTGAATGTTACACTCCAGCCCCCATCCCAGGCTAGTATCACATTGGGCGGCAGGGGGAGACATAGGGAACATCCAATGATTCATTTATTAAAAAACAGCCCGAGACCATTGTGATCATAACTCCAGTTGTAGCAGGGCTGAGCTGGGAGGGCAGGGGAGAGTTCTTTGACAAGTCAGCCAGGGGTGCCATTTCAGATTTTGGCAGGGGTGGGGGGCAATTTTAACAGTGATTCCAGGGGCTACTTAAGCACTTGAAAACTCTAGGGTTTTTTGGCAGATAATTTAGCAATTAGCTGACAGGAGTGCTGTATCCAATTCCTATGTAAAAGAAAGAAAATTAAATAAATATTAGACCCACTCAGCTGTAATACTAACATGTTCTGACATCTTGTGGCAAGTCACTTAAGGGACACTGATTAGATTTAAATTTTGAATGTTACTAGCTCTGCAGAGAGGGCGACCCCATCAGGACGCCTGGGTTTTAACTCAGCTCTGAGAGGGAAGTGGTATGGTATTGGGTTACAGCGGGGGCAGAAACATCTGGATTCTATAGAAGAACATCAGAATGGCCATACTGCGTAAGACCAATGGTCCATCTACCCCAGTGTCCTGTCTTCCAGCAGTGGCCAATACCAGGTACTTCAGAGGCAATGAATAGAACTGGGCAATCATTGAGTGATTCATCCCATCGCCCACTCCCAGCTTCTGGCAAACATAGGCTAGGGACACACAGAATATGGTGTTGGATCCCTGCCCACCCTGGCTAATAGCCATTGGTGGCCCTATCCTCCATGAACTTTAGTTCTTATTGGAACCCTGTTATAGTTTTGGCCTTCACAACATCCCCTGGCAGAGTTCCACAGGTGACTGTGAAGAAATACTTTCTTTTGTTTGTTTGAAATCTGCTGCCTATTAATTTCATTGGGTGATCCCTAGTTCTTGTGTTATGTGAAGGAGTAAATAACACTTCCTTCTTCAATTTTTCACACCATTCATGATTTTATAGACCTCTAGCATATCCCCCCTTAGTCATCTCTTTTCCAACCTTAAAAGTTCCAGTCTTCGTTTAATTTCTCCTCATATGGAAGCTATTCCATACCCCCTATCATTTCTGTTGCCCTTCTCTGTACCTTTGCCAATTCCAATATATATTTTTTGAGATGGGGCGACCACATCTGCATGCAGTATTCAATATGTGGGCGTACCACGGATTTATATAGCAACAATATGATATTTTCTGTCTTATTATGTATCCCATTTGTAATGGTTCCTAACATTGTGTTTGTTTTTTGACTGCTGCTGCACACGGAGCAGGTTATTTCCAGAGAACTATCCACAGTGACTCCAAGTTCTGGTTCTTGCTGGGTAACAGCTGATTTAGACCCCGTCATTTTGTCTGTATCGGTGGGATTCTATTTTGCCATGTGCATTACTTTGCATTTATCAGCATTGAATTTCATCTGCCGTTTTGTCGCCCAGTCACCCAGTTTTGTGAGGTCCCTTGTGTAACTCTTGTCAGTCAGCTTTGGACGGAACTATCTTGAGTAATTTTGTATCGTCTGCAAATGTTGCCACCTCCCTGTTTGCCCCTGTTCCCAGCTCAGGGAACAGCGCCTGTCCCAGTACAGACCCCTGGGGACTGACCCACACTAGGAAACTCCAAGGGGCTCTGCCGCCCCACCCCACGGTGCCCCTAAGCCGGCGATAAGCCCCCAGGCAGCGGCAGCCGGGGCCTAGGGTGACCAGACAGCAAGTGTGAGAACTCGGACAGGGGCTGGGGGGTAACAGGAGCCGATACAAGAAAAAAGACCCAAAAACCGGGACAGTCCCTATAAAATCGGGACATCCTATCCAGGCCACCCCCACGTCCAT